ATGTACCCATTAAATTTGAATAGGTGGACAGGTCCATATTAGGTGGGTTTCCAGTGACCCATACAACTGAGTATCTTAAAATGGTGATGGATGAACATTGGGAGTGGATTTCTTTCATGGTGGTTCCTCATATGAGTGAAGCGGTAATCTTGGGTTTAGCCTGGCTGGATAAGTGGGAGCCAACTATAAAATGGGAAGGAGGGTATCAGAAATTGACTCTAGCAATTGGCCCTCATCCACCTAGTCATCATGGAGCACAACGGGCTCCTGAACATGCTTTGATAAAGGAATTATCAACCATACACCCCTACCCTTATGAATATAAAGATTTGGGCAAGGTGTTCGAAGAAGATGGCACTGATTGTTTACCACCACATCGCTCAATGTAATGTGCCATAGAGTTGATCCCAGGCGCACCTTTACCTAAGCCACGAATGTACTCCATGATCCACAAAGAATTAGACAAGATGAGAAAATATATCAAGAAAAATTTAAAAAGGGGTTTTATCACTCCAAGTAGATGACATGTGGCAGCACCTGTGTTATTCCACGAAAAAAAAGATGGCAGCTTATGTTTATGTGTTAAATAACGGGTTAAATGCCATCTGTGCAGAACAGTTGTATCTATTACCATTAATGAAAGACATACTTACCACCTTAGCACAAGGTTGCATATTTACAAAACTTGATCTATGAGAAGCGTATTATCGAGTATGAATTAGGAAAGGAGATGAATGACTTTTAATTGTCTGCTGGGCAGTTATTGTTATAAGGTGATGCCATTCAGACTACAGGAGGCTCCAGTTGTATTTATGCAGCTGATAAACGACGTGTTATATGAACATTTATGTAGAGGAGTTTTGGTTTATTTGGTTGACATTTTAATTTATTCAAAGTCTGAACAAGAACATATCCAATTAGTCAGACAGGTGCTCAAAAAACTGTTAGACGCTCAACTTTACGTAAAGCTCTCAAAATGCGAGTTTCATACTAAACAACTGGATTACCTCGGTTATCGTATCTCTGAATGAGGTATTGAAATGGACCCAAAGAAGGTAGAATCTGTGTTAAAGTGGCAAGCCCCAACCACTCGAAAAGAGCTGCAGAGTTTCCTGGGGTTTGCAAACTTTTATCGGCAGTTTATTCCCTGTTTTGTCAATGTTGCTCTACCTCTGACAGATCTATTAAAGACAAAACCTTTAGGAATTAAAGATACAAAGACAAATACTAATTTGCCATGGACAAAAGTATGTCAACAGGCATTCGACAACTTAAAAGAGTTATTTGCAAAGTAACCAGTATTAAAACATCCAGATATTGAGTTACCTTTTGTCATCCAGGCAGATGCCAGTGACATAGCAGTAGGAGCGGTGTTACTGCAAAAGGGTACGGATGGGGTTTTACACCTGTGTGCATACACTTCTCGTAAATTCAGCCCAACTGAATGTAATTGGGCGATATGGGAGAAGGAAGCTTTCACAGTTCATTGGTCATTATTAACCTGGAGACATTTGTTAGAGGACAGTCCAAAACCATTCGAGGTGTGGACTGACCATAAAAATTTGGAAGCCCTACAAAACCCACATCATTTGTCACCGAAACAGGTGCGTTGGGCTTTATTTTTTAAAAGGTTTAAATTCACATTGAAACATGTCCCAGCACTGAAAAACTTTATGGCGGATGCTTTATCCTGACTTCCACAGTATTGTAGCCAATGCAAAAGCACAATCCAACAGCTTATACCGATAATTGATTGAGTAGCAGGAACTAAAGCCATTATACTAGTGCCAGATCTGCCTGTATTATTAACAGAAGATGATTGGTTGGCACATAACTTAAATCAAATTGAGATGAAAGATGGGTATAGCCTGGCGGGGGAACAAAATTTATGTACCAAAGGTATTGAGATCAGTGGTACTGAAAAGACGTCATGATGTTAAGCAGGCAGGACACTATGGATTCCTGAAATCCTTACAAATCCTTGCAAAACGACAGTTTTGGTGGCCAGGCATGCTGTTGGATATCAAAGCATATGTGAAATCCTGTCCAACTTGCATGATGAATGAAAATAAAATAGGGAAACCGATGGGTCTATTGCAGTCTGTATCGGAACCAACAAAACCATGACAAGAAATCGGAATGGATTTCATAGTGGATTTTCCAGAAAACAATGGGTACACAGTTATATGGACTGTTATAAATTTATTTTCAAAACAGGCACATTTTATACCATGTAAAGGAATACCATCAGCCAAAAAACTAGCACAATTATTCATAGAACACATTTATCGATTACATGGAGTACCCAAATGGATCATATCTGATAGAGGAGTGCAGTTTACATCCACATTTTGGTACGAATTCCTCGATGCAATTGGATCAACACAATGATTAAGTACAGCCTACCATCCAGCTACTAATGGTGCAGCCGAACAAGTGAATGCGACCATTGAACAATTTCTCCAATGTTATGTTGATTACCAACAAAGTAATTGGACAACTTTACTGCCATACGCTGAAGTCACATACAAAAATACGGTTCATAATAGCACAGGCTATTCTCCTTTTCAAATAGTTAATGGGATGGAATTTTCACCCATACCAGAATGGCCGCAGGCTGCACAAACACAAGAAACTCCCAATACCACTACATGGGCAACAAATATAGCAAAACAATGGGATTCAGTGCGAATTGCATTGAAAAAAGCCCAGGAAGCATATGCAATCCAAAGCAACAAGAAGTGAGCTGACCACAAGCCATATAATATTGTAGATTAGGTTTATTTATCCACAAAATATATACACCTAGGTTTAAATAAGAAATTAGGACCAAATTTTATTGGACCATTTCAAATATCACAAATAATAAATCCGGTAACAGTAAAGCTTCAACTGCTGTCCCATTTTAAATGAATTCACCCTATATTCCACGTTACTCTAGTAAAACCAGTTAATATAACCAGACAAGAACCAAAAGCGATTCTACCAGGACCATTACATGATGATCATTATGAAATTGATCAGATACTTGATTCATGTTGATGACGGGGTGTCCTTCAATATCTAGTTAGTTGGAAGGGGTATCCACTATCAGATGCAGCATGGATACCGAGTACAGATGTGTCCACTCCCCATTTGCAATGGCGGTTCCATAGGAAATACCCCACGAAAGCAGGCGGGGAGGGAGAAATTGTACATACAAGATAATTATTGCCTATTTTTTGTTTCAGAGAATCACATGGTAGAGGGGGCCGCATGTCGGGCTTCACCAAACCTGCTGACAGAATGAAGCCCGACACATCGCTGTGGGTGGGGGAGAGCTATCTACCTTGAAAGTCCCAAATCGATGTCGATGACAGCTGATGGAGCCAGGCATAACCGCCCTTCCCCACTGCAGTGTGACCGGCTGAGAACATGCCTTATCAGTAGTTTGGCATTTTGCAAAACTCTAAGTAACACGCCTCCCACTCTTCTCAACCAGGAAAAACTTCGGGATGTCATTTCAGCTGGTCAGCTATCTGCATAGGAGATATCAAATGGATTGGGGTGGAAGAATAGCACCAGGGAAGGGGGAAGGTATTGTTTGGGGGTTTGGGTGATAGCGTGCAAGATTGCTGTCACTGAATGTTGGGTGTTTTGCTAAGGGCAAATGTTAGTGAATTAATGGGGGCGGGTGAACGGGAAATATAAACAGCACTGAGAGGCAGATGCTCTCAGCACTGGCTTTACTCAGACTTTCTGTTTGTTGCTGCTGATGGAGGAAGCCAAAATAAACACACATTGCTACAGCAAGACTGTGAGTGAAGTGTTTTATTAAACCAGTTTCAGCGACTTCCTGTAGGAGCTGACACTATCTATCTATCTGTACACACACACACACACAAAGTCATTCCTTATTCTCTTGATCCTTTCTCTTCTCTAGCCAACCATAGAACTTATCCCATATTTTATAATAGTCAGATTCATCAATATTTTTTAATTCCTTTGTCGATTTGTCCATTTCTGCGCACATCCAAATTTTCCTAATTATTTCAAATTCATTTGGAGTTTCTTTACTTTTCCAATGTTGTGTGTATGCCAATCTTGCTGCAGTAATTATATGGATTATTAAGTATATATTATCCTTAACGTATTTTCTCATATTAATCCCTAACAAAAAATCTCTTGTCTATATTCTATTTTCGTCCCACATATTTCTTCCAGCCATATCTGTATTTTTTGCCAATATTTTTGGGCTTTTTTGCAATTCCATCACAAATGGTAATATGTTTCTTTTTCTTAATTACATTTCCAGCAAGTGGGGGAAAGTTTTGGATACATTGTTGCCAATCTTGATGTGCCATCTGTAGAAAAATCTATACAAATTTTCCTTAAATGGTATGGCCAAAATCATTTTTTTGTTTCTTTCCCATAATATTTGCCAATGATAGTATAGCCAAAAATTTTCATCCATACCACCATTGTTTCCTTTACTTTTTCTTCTTCCTATTTAAATTCCAATAAAACTTTATAGATTTTGTTTAGCATTTTCTCATCGGTTCCTAATAGTACTTCATCTAATTTTGTTTTGGTTCTTGTAATTCCCCACTCTTTCTTATCCTTAAATATTTTGATTGGAGTTGCAAATAAGCCCACTATTCTATATCAATTCCTTGATCCTTCAACTCCTGTCTAGATTGTAGTTCTCCTTTATCAGTTAATATATCCTCATAGGTGATAATTTTTCCTTGTCTAAGTAGATGTGGATGCATCAATGCTTCTAAGGTTGATAGCCAAATAGGTGTTTCTACATAAATTTGTCTTTTGGTTTTATTCCAAACATTTAGGAGAGTCTGTTTGACTCTGTGTCTTTGAACTTAACTATAACCCGTTTGATTATCCTGCCAGAGGATAACGTATGCCATCCCGACTGCAAACCCTCTAATGCTAGTATTCTTTTATTTCTATGATTTATCCAATCCTTCACCCATGTTGGAATTGCAGCTCTGTAATACAATTCCCAGTCAGGAAGGTCAAATCTTCCTCTTTCTGTAGCATCTTGCAGCAGCTTCAGTTTAACTCTTGGTTTTTTCTTTTGCCATATGAAACTCGATGTTACTTCATTCAAATTATCAAAAAACTTTTTTTTCCACTTTTATGGGGACATTTTGAAAAAGAAATAATAATTTGGGTAATACAGTCATCTTTATGGCTGCTATCCTTCCCATGAAGGATAGTCTTAATTTATCCCACTTTTCCAAGTCTTCAGATATTCTTTTTATTAATGGATCATAATTATCCTTTTTAAGTGTTCTATGTCTCGCCGATATTATAATCCCCAAGTATTTAACTTTTTCTACTATTTGGATACCCATTTTCACTACTGTGGCTTCCTTTTGTTTATTTGTCATATTTTTGGTAATCATTTTTGTTTTCTCCCTATTAATTTTTAGCCCCGCGACGTCTCCAAGTTCTTCTAAATTATCTATAAGCTTTGGTCCCTAATTTTGTGGTTCTTCTAATATAAAAAGTAAATCATCAGCGAAGGCTTGCAGTTTAAATTCTTCTTTTTTTATTTTTAAACCTTTAATTTCTGTTTCATTCCTAATTATTCTTGCTAACACCTACAAAGTTAGAATAAACAAAAGTGGCATTAGTGATCCATGGCGGGCTTGGCAAGGAATTAAACACCTCACTAATTACTGGGGCAGCAACCCCATATTGATCAATAAGGATGCATCACTGGCAGAATAATTGAATTGCTTCTTTGCCCAATTCAAACTGAATAGGTCTTCGAACACATTGCCTCTAGAAACCACTGGAACTCAGCTGTTCACAGTACAAGAGTATGATGTGAAGCAGGTGCTTAGAGCAGTGAATGTGAAGAAGGCTGCTGGCCCTGATGGGAGGGTACTCAGCATGTGCTGACCAGCTCGTAGGTGTGTTTACAAATATTTTTAACCTTTCTCTCACACAAGCCATTGTTCCATCTTGTCTCAAAACTTCCATTATTATTCCAGTTCCCCAAAAGCCCTCTCCTGATACTTTAAATGATTATAGACCAGTAGCTCTCACACTCATAATCATGAAGAGTTTTGAGAGACTGGTCTTAAAATATATACAGGATTGCCTCCCATGAAACCTTGACCCATACCAGTTTGTTTATCAGAATAACAGATCCACAGAGGATGCTATTGCTGCTTGGCTTTTAATACCATCATTCCGGATATACTGATTAAGAAGTTGCTGGAAATGGGCCTCTCCTCTCACATGTGCTGTTGGATAAGGGACTTTCTTACTAACAGACCCCAAACTGTTAGGATTGGCAGGTATTTTTCCTCCACTCTTGTTCTCAGCACTGGCTCTCCAGAGGGCTGTGTGCTGAGCCCCCTTTTGTATTCACTCTACACCTATGATTGTACTTCCCCTTGTCCCACTAACTCTATAATAAAATTTGCAGATGACACCACATTGGTGGGACTCATATCAGGAGGAGACGAGACGGCCTATAGGTCAGAGGTTCTCAGACTGGTTTTGTGGTACAAGAATCATAACCTCACCCTCAATATCAAAAAGACCAAAGAATTGATTATAGACTTCAGAAGATGCAAAGCAGAGCCTCTCCCACCATATATCAATGGAGACTGTGTGGAAATAGTTCATAGTTTTACATTTCTAGGAACTCATATTTCCGACAAACTTACTTGGTCAGTCCATACTATGGCCACTGCAAAGAAGGCCCAACAGCGCCTGCACTTTCTGAAGTTGCTGAAAAATAGTGGTCTGGGTGAGAAGTTGCTGGTTACTTTTTACCATTCTACCATCAAGAGCATTTGGGGATACTGTGTAACAGTGTGGTAAGCTGGGTGCTCTGTAGTGGATAAGAAGATGCTCCAGAGAGTTATAAACATAGCACAAAAAATCATCGGTTGCTCTCTTTCTTCTTTGGAAGAGATTGTGAAGACCAGACTCCTCAATAGAGCACTAAAAATCTCCACGGATCGTTCTCGTCCTGGTCATTCATATTTCAAACTGTTAGCATCAGGGAGACATTATAGGTGTCTTAAAATGAGGACTAATAGACTGAGAAACAGTTTCTTTTTCAAGGCTATTATTATTATTATTGCTGTTATTATTAATAACAATAATAATTATTATTTTTAATTATTTTAATTTTTAAATACTTGTAGTGTGGTTGTGATTTGGTATTTGGGGAACTGTGCTGGAGTAGCTTTCAAATTTCATTGTATTCGAGGAATGCAATGACAATAAATGTAAATTCTTCTAAATTCTTCTTCTAATTCTTTGTTAGTTTTTTCCAATTTATCCATTAACTCATCTACCCTTTTTTCCTCCTTATTCATCTTAGTCCCAATTTCTACAATTTTCTCTTGATTTTTCCAGACTTCTTGTTGAAAAGCTTCAAATTTCTTGTCTACAGGTGAAACTCGAAAAATTAGAATATTGTGCAAAAGTTCATTTATTTCAGTAATGCAACTTAAAAGGTGAAACTAATATATGAGATAGACTCATTACATGCAAAGCAAGATAGTTGAAGCCGTGATTTGTCATAATCGTGATGATTATGGCCTACAGCTCATGAAAACCTCGAATCCACAATCTCAGAAAATTAGAATATTACATGCAATCAATAAAACAAGGATTGTAGATAGAACAATATCAGACCTCTGAAAAGTACTCAGTACTTGGTTTGGGCCGTTTTTGCAGCAATTACTGCCTTAATGCAGTGTGGCACGGAAGCTATCAGCCTGTAGCACTGCTGAGGTGTTATGGAAGACCAGGATGTCTCTCATCTTTCTCTTGGCAATGCCCCATAGATTCTCTATGGGGTTCTGGTCAGGCAAGTTTGCTGGCCAATCAAGCACAGTAATCCCACAGCCATTGAAGCAAGTTTTGGTGCTTTTGGCAATGTGGACAGGTGCCAGGTCCTGCTGGAAAATGAAGTCAGCATCCCCATAAAGCTCATCTGTGGAAGGAAGCATGAAAATCTCCTGGTAGATGGCTGCGTTGACCCTGGACTTAATGAAGCACAGTGGACCAATACCAGCAGATGACATGGCTCCCCAAATCAACACAGACTGTGGAAACTTCACACTGGACTTCAAGCAGTGTGTGCCTCTCCATTCTTCCTCCAGACTCTGGGTCTTTGGTTTCCAAATGAGATGCAAAAGTTGCTCTCATCAGAAAAGAGGACCTTGGACCACTGAGCAACAGACCAGGTCTGTTTTTCTTTAGTTCAGGTAAGACACTTCTGACATTGTTTGTTGTTCAGGA